ACGATGATGATGATGATGATGATGATGATGATGATGATGATGATGATGATGATGATGGTGATGATGATGATGATGATGATGATGATGGTGTGATGGTGATTAGGACAAGAGTGTGTGTGTGTGTGTGTGTGTGTGTCTGTGAGGGGTGGCCTGCGCGGGATATCCGAAGAAAGCAAGAACCCCACTTTGGATGTGTGGAGTAAACACCAGTTGGGGAGTCTTTGGCCATTTTCGGAATGTTGCCATCCTGTTTTGGCGCCGCCTGCGTCGCCTCCTACTAGACCTGGAACATGCGGGCGGTGAACGCGAAACGTCTCGAATCAGAGGTCCCCAGGCGAATCCGAACAACTGCTCGCGGCCATTCGCTGCAACGACAGAGGCCGACGAGGATGACGAGGCGGGGGCGAGGGAGCACGACGGCGACGACGACAGGGAGTAACACGACCGCCTGACTGACCGACGACGACGACAGCACGCGACGACGAAGCCGAGGGCTCCTCGCCACCGTCGACACTTCAAATCATATCTAAGATGTTCGCGAACCTACGAACAACATGTCATTCGTCGCTCAATTTTGGAGCTCATGTGGCCCTTCGGGCCTCGTGAGGGGTGCTCTGGAGGCCGTGGGGGCCTCCTTGAAAATCCTGGGGGAACCGTGGGCGTGGGGCACTTCTAGCAACACCCGACCAACAGCACCAGGACGCTGGCAAAGACGTCTGCGGGCGCCAAGTGGTCCAAGAACAGTCAGACGCCGGTCAGCAAGCGGCAAGGTGCACCAGGAGGGAGTTGAAGCACGAAGGCGACACGGAACGGAGCTCGAGTGGGGGAAGAGGGGTGAGCCAGCTCAGGCTACGAGCGTCGGCGCGGGGGAGGACGCTGGGTTCACATGTGGAACATTAGGAGGCCACGCGCTGGATGCACATGCGGAAGCCCAGCCTGCATTTCCGCAGAAGGGCCGGTCTCTGGAAATGTCTCTGGCTCGGGTGTCCAGCTCTCGCCCAAGCTGGCCACGCCGAGTGTATCCGGCTCCCTGGCAGGCAAGCAGCAAGAGCTCTAGAGCCCCATGGGGAAGCTTACTGATCTTCAGGGGACCCTTCGGAAGCAGATCGGATCCTCGATCCTGAATCGTCGTCGAAGCCGTTGGAATCCTCCGCAGACGAGCCCTCGACCCAAGGCCTGGGCCTGGGAGCGGCCCAGGGAGTCCGACCATGGCGAAAGAGCGCAGGACTCGCTCCCCCACTCGGGGCCCCATTCTGTTCTTCGAGCCTGCTGTCTCCGGGGCCCCGACCGGCGGGGCGGGGTCCAGGAAGAGGAGGAGGGGAGGACGGAGAGGGGGGGAAGGGAGAGGAAGGAGGAGGCAGAGGTGGAGGAGAAGCAGGACGCGGAGGAGCAGCCGTGCACCCCGCCGAGCGGACCCCCCCGAGACACCCTTTGGTGGCCTCGCGGCGGCCCTCCCTCCGTGGCTGCCCAAGGCGGGGGCGCTCCGCCGAGCCCGCGGCGCTCCAGGCGCGGCCGCGCCCCGAGAGGCCACCGCAGGGCCGCCGAGGGCCTCGCTCGAATGCCGCCGAGAGGGGTCCCCGAGGGCCGCCGGGGGGGCCGCGGGAGGCAGGGCGCCGCCCGGGGCCGCGGCGCGCCAGCGCCGCCGCGCCCCAGCACTGCAGGAAGTGCCTCCGCGGCAGCACCCTGGCCGAGGGGGACCCTCCCTCCCTCTCCTCCCTCTCCTCCCTCCCTCTCCTCCCTCTCCTCCCTCCCTCCCTCCCTCTCCTCCCTCTCCTCCCTCCCTCCTCCCTCCCTCCCTCTCCTCCCTCTCTCCCTCGGCAGCTCCGGAGGGGCTGCGCCACGCCCGAGTCGGCGAGGCAAGGCCGAGCCGGACTGCGGGGGCGCACCGACCCGGGCCGAGGCAGACCCGGGTCGGTCGCGGGCCTGGCAGGACCCCCTAAAAGGCCCGGCAGGGCCCCGCGAGGTCCTGCGCGCAGGGCCTGGAGCGGCGCAGCCCTGGCTCTGCTGGGTCCCTCTCCTCCCTCTCCTCCCTCCCTCCCTCTTCTCCCTCTCCTCCCTCTCCTCCCTCCTCCCTGCCTCCTCCCTCTTCCCTCTTCTCCCTCCTCCCTCTCCTCCCTCCTTCCTCCCTCTCCTCCCTCCCTCGCATCCCTCCCTCGCCTCCCTCCCTCGCCTCCCTAACCCCCACGATTTCTGATGGGGAGGGTGGGGTTCACGTCGTCTGGGAGCTCCCGAGCGAAGTGACCCCCACCCCCTCCCCCTCAGAAATCGCGGGGGGTAGGGGCAGGGTTCGCAGGCGGCCCCCTGCAAGATCTGGCGCTCGGACTGGTCCCTGCTTGCATCGACCCCTGCCGCCCGAGCCCCGAGGGCCAGAGCTGGCGGGCCGCTTGGCCCCCGCCTCGGCTGCTGCCAGGAGTGCCCCGGGCCCGGCGTGCCCCCAGGATGTCCCGGGAGGCCCCCGCGGCCTCCGGGGCACCCCTCGCGAGGCCACGAGGGGAGGAGGAGGAGGAGGAGGAGGAGGAGGAGGAGGAGGAGGAGGAGGAGGAGGAGGAGGAGAAGGAGGAGGAGGGGGAGGAAAAGGAGGAGAAGGAGGAGGAAGACCCAACATCGAGCGAAAAGCTGGGGGCACCTCGGGCCTCTGGCACCCGCCGGCTGTCGGGCGAGGAGAGGGGCGATCGGGGATCCCCCTGACGCTGCGCCTGACGGGCGGCACCGCGGGCCGCCGCGGGCGCGCCTGCGTCGTCGGCGGCTGTAGGTCGGTCGACGAGGAGCCGTCGGCGAAGACGAGGGGGCAACATCGTAGCAGGAAGCGTCGGGGATCTCTGAGGACTGGCGGCTCCGGAGGATCTATCGGGCGCCGCGGCCGTTCCAGAGCGCTCCAGAACGCGCCTGAACGCTCCGAGAGCGTTCCAGAGCGCTCTGGAGCGATCTACCTCTGTCGTGGCCCTGCCCGAATCGAGGTTTTTGGGCGCGTTTGGGCCGCTGGAGGGCTCATCGTCGACACGGCTGGACTCGCCTCGGAGTTCTGGCCAGATCGCACTCCCAGGCAAGTCTTTGAGTCAACGCTTGACCCCCGCGCCCAATCCTGACGCCGTGAACAAGTCAAGGGACACCAAGTTTGAGTACTTTCGGTCCCACGGCGTTCTTTGTGGACCCAGGGGCACTGGAACGATTTAGCCTCGTTCCCTCGAGGAAGGAAACGTAGACTTTCGGAGGTCCGCGCAGTCTTCTTGCATCGGCGCTGAATCCCCTGGAGGACACGCGGAACTGATGCGCGCTCCTACTCCACAGCCCCAGACTCCTTATCTGCCTGAAGTCGGTCTACCCAATGCCGTATCGGGGAGCTTCTGACCCGGGTCATTCCAGACCCGGGTCAGCAGGAAACCCAAAAACTGCAATGCAGGAACAACAATAACTGCAACGCAGGTCCTCGCAAACCCGGGCCAGCCAATACGCGCGGCCGCCTCGAGGCCACGAGCGGCTCGCTAACCCGGGTCGGCCAGAGGGGGTCTTCGCAAGCTCCTGCAGGATCCGGTGCCCTGGCTGACCCCCGTTTACATTGACCCCCGTCTCGAGGCTCCCGACCGTGTGTTGAAGCACTGAGGCCGGTGGTGTATGCAGGGTCTTGCCGGTCCTGCTTATGGTGGGGCAGGGGGGATCCCAGGAGGGGGGGTCCAAGCGCCGCTCCACGGCGAGCTCGGCCCCGAACCAGGAGGAGGAGGAGGAGGAGGAGGAGGAGGAGGAGGAGGAGGAGGAGGAGGAGGGTCCCGCCCCCCCCCGTCCTCCCCTGGGACCATCTCTTGGTCCTGCCCTGAAGATCCAGTGGGAACCGCGAGTTGCGGTGTTGGGCGGGCCAGAGGATCTCCAGCATAATTCCAAATCGGACGTTGAGCTGTCGGACCCAGATATGGTCGGCAATCGCGTGAGGGGCCACAGCATAACATTGCCATCTGCCACTGCGGGGCAGAACTCAGATAGCAGCCTAGAAGATGCGAGGTGGCCAAGTGGTAGCCCGACGGCTGTAATTGCGGGAACGGCTTTTGGCGTAGCCAAGCGGTGCCTACACATATCGGGTAGCTAGGTAGCTATGGTCAGACTGTGAAGCTTACTGGCTTGACCTGTGAGCTTGACGAGGTAGCTATGACAGGATGGCAATCCAAGCGATGGCGAATTGGTCATGTCGCTATGACATTTGGGGCAACGATTCGGCCGTTGTGACACATGCCCCCGCTACAGAATCTACATATAATTGGTTATAGGGAACGTAAACGAAGCTATGACGTAGCTATTGGGCCATGCGGATGCTGGTGAATGGTGAATCGCATTTTCTCGCAAGGGAATTGGGAGGTAACGGCGCAGAGCGTGGCTAAGATGATGCCAGGAAGAGGTGCAAGAGCTGGGGCTTACCCTTGACCACGGACTCACCCTGAACTTGGCTAGGTGTAATCCCAGACAACGCGAATTCCATCGAGAAGCCAGCCCTCTGCAAAGTAAATTGCGGTCTGAAGCCCATCCATGGACAAATCCACCAACCCTTCGACGTGTGAGAGGCGCTGTCGTCGTCGTCGTCGTCGTCGTCGTCGTCGTCGCCGTCGTCAGTCCCGATGATTGAGGGACAAGGCAAAGAAACATCGTAGTTAAGTCGATTCCCTTCCCTTGATCCCTTCCCAGCCGGATGGTGTTTTGGGGGGTGATGGGGGTGGACGCAGGAGGGCACCCCGGGTCAGAATACAGCCCAACCCCCCCGCCCCCCCTCAGGGCCCCAGCGGGCGGGTTGCCACCGGAGGTCCCAGGCGAGGTCCCGCCTGTGGTGGCCCCGACTCAGAATGCGCCCCCCCCCCCCCCGCCATGACTCGCGGCGGGTCCTGGGGAGGGGGTCGCCGGCGGGGGTCCGCGGGGAGTTCCCGCCTGAAGGGACGGTGGCACCAGCAGCAAGGCCTTCGCAATGCATTGTCCACAATCACGGTGCAGGCCCCCCCCTGCCGACAGCGCCCTCCGGTAGTTGCTTTTTTAACAATGTGGAACTCCTTTGAAGCTGACATCCACGCCATCAGGCAGAGGGAACACATACAACGAGGCTGAGTCATTACCGAATTGACAAGCTGGGTCCGCCGTTCGACGGCCCTTACACGAAAAAACATGCCCCAATAACACAGAGATGCTAAAGACCGAGCTGGAAGCGACTGTGGTGGAACTGCGTTGAGAACATAATCATACCCGCTAGAACAAACCCACGTCTCGGGATTGCAATGAGCACGGAGTGCCTGCAAAAGGAAAACGCATGGCAATGGTGAGATCGGACAAAGCGGGAGTGGTGGCGCTGATATGATCGCCCAACCAGAAACTAGACAATGAGGACAAATGGTAATCAATAAACAGGAGAGGGAGAGAGAGAGAGAGAGAGAAAGAGAGAGAAGAAGACGAGAGCGGTGGGAATCGGAAGAGCGTCGCACTGAGCTCCACGAAGGCGGGCAAGCTCAGGCGTGACCAGGTCTTGTGAGACGCCGCAGGATCAGGCCAAGGCATGCCTCTGAGTACAACCTACCCTTTGAAGTTCACGTCGCGGACAACCGTGGAGACCATGTGGTAGGGCGGCATGGCGCTGGCTCCGTGGGGGACCTGGAGCGTGAGGACACCCTGGAGCGGCGCGTCCGCCCTGGCCCCGTTATTGTTTTCGTCTTCCGATCTGCGCGCCGCTCTCCGGCGAGAGGTTGGGCAACTGCTCAACCAGCTGCAGCTCGCGGACAGAGGACCCATGTCGGGGTACTTGAAGCCGAGGACCTGGGCCGACAAGAGCGCCAGGTCCTCCTTGGACCTGTCGACGTCTTTCGCCCGGGTCCAGACCTCCCCGTTGCCCCACTCCAGGCGCCCGTCGATGATGCTGGCTCGGAGGATCACGCCGTCGAACTCCGCACACACGCTGTGCGCGCCGCGCGCCCGGACCCGGCCGACGCTGTCGCCCCCCTGTACGATGGACCTGCCTGGCCTGATCTCCGTCAGCACGAGCTCGTCGCTCCGCCACCAACCCTGCAAGGTCTCGGGGTCCTCCTCCACGCTATCCCGGGCGGCCGCGGCGGTGGGCCCCCTCCGCCGCCACAGCCAGGCCACGTAGTGCACCAGGGCTCTGTCCTGGACACGTGACTGGCCCAGCCCCAGCACGAGTAGCTCGGGCAGCAGCAGCAGCGCCACGGGCACGGCGACCACGCCCGCGACCAGGATCGCCACGCCCGCCCTGCCAAGGCCCTCCATGGACGTCGACATCAGCATCGTCCCGACGAACAGCGTCGACAACAGGGTGCAGAGTATCACCTCGGCGCCACAAGAGATGGCCACGGTGCACCGCATCCGCCGCTCCGCGTTGCAGGCGCCCACCCACAGCGGCACTGGCACAGGGCGGGCGCTGTGCCCCGGCAGGTCGTGCTGCTCAAAGACGCTCTTGCTGCGGTTCTTGAAGGCCGTCTTCGGAGACTGTGCGCCTGGGGGTGAGCGAGCGGAGCCCCGCGCGCCTGGAGAGGAGCTATGCGGAGACCCCGCCCGTGTGGCGGCGTCGGCGCCCGTGGCTGGCTCTCCGGAGCGGTGCCAGGGCCAGCGGCAGCAGCGGACGCCCATCTGCCTTGCACCCGCGGGCGGCACGTCCTGACAGGTGGCGTAGAGCTGCGCCACGCGCAGGAGGGGCACCGACACACTCACGAGGCAGGCCTGCAGCGAGACCACATCCAGCGACCCTGCGCTCGGCGCCACGAGCACGGAGAACAGGAACCCCAAGGCGCACGCAAGCGCTGCAGACACGGCCACGGCAATGCCGAGGCTGAGCGTGGCCAGCAGCGCGCCCAGGCCCGCCAGCGCGACGGCTTGCGCCGCCACGGCCCCGCAGAGGCTGCGGATGGCCCGCGCCGCCTGCTCGTCGACGGCCCTCTGGCTTGCGGGCGACGTGGAGTTCGGGGGAGGGAGGCCCCTCAACGCGGCGTACTCGCCCCACCTGGGCGACGATCCAAAACGGGTCTTACGCGAGATGGCGTAGGGACCTTACGCGGCGGCTGACGCTGAGCGCGGCACGCTGCACAGGAGACCAGGGCGCTCACGCGCGACCTTACGCGAGCAGCTTACGCGCCATGTCGGCGAAGACGGCCCGTTTTTTTGTTGCGTCGCTCACCTGCTCATCAGATCGTCATCCCTGGTCTGGTCCACGGACGCGTTCAGGGTGAACGTCATCACGAAGCCGCTGATCCTTCCGCCGTCGCCCACCAGGAACTGCTGGGCCCGGTCCCGCAGGGGCACCTGCAGTGTGTGCTCCTGCAGGAACTCGGAGACCCTGAGGTAGAACTCCTCCTGCAGAGGCCTCCTAGATGGGGTCGGAGTAGATGGGGTCGGAGGATCGCGCCGCATCGCCGATACGTCGGCGATGCATCGGTGATGCACCTGCGATGCATCGTCGACGTCGGCGATGCATGGGCGACGTCGACGTGAAGCAGATCGGGCCCCACATCGGGCCGCATCGGCGATGCATCGGCGATGCGTCGCGATCCTCCGACCCCGTCTACTCCGACCCCATCCGGGAGGCCCAGATCCTTCGGAGCCGGGTACGGGCGCTCCTGCACGGCGCCAATCCAGCGCTGGAAGTCCAGGAGCCAGCAGCCCTCGCCCGCAATCTCCAGGCCGGGCGCCGTGCCCGCACAGAAGGAGAAGAGCCGGCGCTGCTCGCCGAGGTCCTCCAGCGCCGCTGAGTTGAAGCTCAGCGCGGCGCCCGGCCGCATGCTGCGAGACGGCACGGGCCCGGGCGCCAGCCCCCATGCCCAGACCAGGTCCACGGCCTCGCTGGCCTCCTCTGCTGCCGCACTGGGGGCGGCGCGCTCCACGATCGCCGCCCGCTCGGTCGTGCCGAGGAGGGGCCAGGCGGACGCAGCGCCGGCCGAGGACAGGCCCGCCTGGCTGCACTGACGCTGCCCGCAGAAGCAGAGCACCCGCGCGCAGGACCCGTCCGAGCCCAGGGCCTCCGCCGCCTCGGCGTCGATGTCGCCGCCGGAGGACAGGGCGGTCCCCGTGCACAGAGCCATCGAGGTCTGCCCGGAGCCCCAGTCCAAGATCTCCAGCGGCCCCGAGGACCGCAGGGCGCTCCTCGAGCTGTTGGACGCCGCCGACTCCGCCCCCGCGCCGAGGGCGCCCTGCCGCACGAGCGCCCGCGCGGCCCAGCTCCAGAACGCCGTCCTGTCGAGGCTCTCGGTCTGGTTCAGGCCCCAGACCTTCGCAACAGCGCACGCCGCCCCGTTCGGGGCCTGCGCGCTGCTGTAGCACTTGCACCGGTCTGCGGCCGCGGCACTCCCGTCCGCCTCGCAGGCGTGCAGCTGGCAGTCGCCGTAGAGCGCCCCCGGCTCGCAGATGGACGCGCCCGCGGGGGTCGCGGAGAGCATGTCCATGGGCCCCGGGAGGGTCGGCGGCGAGCGCGGGGGGAAAGTGAGAAGGAGAAGGCCGTCTCAGAAGGCTCGGAAGCCCTCCGGCCTTGTGAGAAGTTCTCTGAGCCCTCCCCGAAGACGCACAAAAGACCTCTCAGCGGGCGCGAGGGCTCCTGAGAAGCCCCGCCATCCTCCGAGGAGGCCTTCGCCTCCTCGCTTCCCCCCTCACTCGCCGCCGGGAGGGGGCCGAACAACGCCCACACCTCGGGCCCGTCCTGGATCCGGTGGCCCGCGCTGAAGAGCCGCGGCGTGCCGCCGTCCCACTCGTCGGGCCCTCCGCCGACCGCTGCCGCCACGAGCGCGGCAAGAGCCAGCAGCAGCAGCAGGAGGCGCACGTGCAGCGAGCCGACCATGAGCTTCACGACGAGCGTCGCCCTCGTGTGGAGCGTGCTCCTCCACTGGGGCTCGCCCCCAAGCTCCAGGGGCATCACGTTGTGGTACGCGACCTGAAAGGGGCCCTGGGACACACACAAATAAACAGACGCACGTCCCAGGACTCCAAACTTTTTCTGCTTTTGCTTCTCACACTTCCTGGGCTTTCGTCTTCACCCCCCACTCCCCATCTGTTATCCTATTGTCCTGGGAGTCGGGGATGAAAGGTGTCTGTGTGTGTGTGTGTGTTTTCCCCTCCTGAGACCTGGAGCCAGCGGCTGGAGAAAGACACTTCGCCGATCCTGGCCTTCAGCAGGTCCCCGAGCGCAACCACCCCCGGGCACAGCAGGCCCGAGAACCCAGCGGCCAGCACCAGCCCCAGCCCGGCGTGCCGAGAGAAGTCTCGCACCATCGCCACGACGGCGCCGTCGCCATTCGCTGGAAGAGCGCACAGCAGCAGCCCGCTCACCAGTGCGGGCGCCAACGCCTCCCTGAGAAGCAGGACGGTGGCCTCGTCGAAGCACTGCTGGCGCTGGAGCCATGACCGCAGCCGGCACCGCCCCCTGCACCGCCTCAGAAGACGGCTCAGGGCCGAGCCCTCCAGAAGCTCCTCTTGGAAGGTCTCGAGGGATGACTTCCACTGCCTCGGCTCGCGGATGCGCTGAATGTAAGCGGCGCACCCGGCGGCGCTGTCGACGCACCCAGACATCACCGTGGCCCACGCCGCGAAGGCTATTGCTGGCACGCGCGTCACCCCGTCGCTGCCGCGCTCCTCGAGTAGCATGGATGCCACGAACGGGGCCGAGAAAGCGACGAATGAGGTCGCGAACGCCAGGAACATCCGGCGCGTCATGACGAGGACGGCAACTGCTGCGCTCAGAGGCGCGAGCACGAAACCGCTCGCGACGAACTCCCACTCCCTGTCAAAAGCCTCCTCGAACTCGCGGATGCCGAGCCCCACCTCCTCTTCGCCATCGAAGCTGTAGAACAGCCGGACCCACAGCTCCTCGGTCTCGGAGTCCTCCAGCTCCCACGCGAGCCGCCGCAAGAGAGGCTCGAGCTCGTCGCGCACAAAAGCTGGCCACTCCTCTGCGACCGCCTCGGCCGCGAGGTAGAACGCGAACGTCGACCTGAGCGCCCGCGTGCGCGCCTCGCCCTGCGCCAGCCGCCACCACAACACGTCGGGCGCAGTGGCCTCGAGCAGCCACACCAGGTTCGACAGCTCCAGGAAGCCTGGCTCGCCTCCGCCGTCGAAGCGCGCCCTCTGAAGCAGGCCCTGCGCCTTCTGCGCCGGCGTCGCGGACGACACGTTGGCGTAGTACGCCGCTGCGAGGGTGTCGCCCAGCTCGCAGAGGCGCCGCACGTCCTGCGGAGTCTGCAGGCACAGCCGGCGCCAGGCGGGCAGCTCCCGCACCTGCTTTTCCAGCTGCTGCACCTGCGCCAGAACGGCCTTCGAGAGGACGTCCTCACCGCTGGACTCGTACACGAGGAACACGCGGCGCCACGAGTGGCCGGGGTGCAAGCCGCCCTCCCCCGGATGAGAGCCGTCGGGCGTCGTCGGGCCGGGGCGCATCGCCACCGCGGCGCGGCGGGCGCGCTCGAGCGTGGCCCTCCACACCACCTGCGGCAGCGCCACTTGGAATGCCGAGCCGAACGCGCCCTCTGCCGCGCCGGGCACCTTGACGGCCCACAGCGCCAGCAGGAGCGCCAGAAAGAGGCCCGCGCTCACGGGCAGCAGGCCCAGTGCTGTGCAGCGGAGCCGCGGGCACTCCGTGGCCCTGGCCAGCCTCGGCCTGGAGCAGGAGCGGCACCAGCAGCCGCCGCGGCACCGCCGCCAGGGTGGCGCGGCGCCAGAGCCGGCGGAGCCGACGGAGTCGGTCTCGATGCGCACGGCGCCGGAGCTGGTCGCCAGCTGCACGGGGTCGGGCTGCGCGGGCGCGCCCTCGTCGCTGGCCCCCGAAGGTCTGAACCTGACCGTCTTGGCCCTGGGCAGGCTGTCAGAGCTGGCCTCGGGCCGCAGCGGCGCCTCCGCGCCCGGCGAGGTCACCTGAGAGAGAGCCGCGCGCCGCGCTGCTGCAAGGGTGACCAGGCGGCTCCTGGAGTTCAGGAGCGGCGGCGGTGGCGGTGTCTGCGCTGGCAGCCCCGAGGACAACGAGGACTGCGACGGAGCCGCGGTGCGGCGCCCAATGACGGTCTCGGATACCCGGCCGTGCTCCGTGGGGTCGGCGGGCTCTGGCGCCATCCGCCAGGAGGGGCGGGCCTGCGGGCGGCTGCAAGCGGGTGCAGGGCCGGGCGCGCGCGCTGCCGCACGACATCTGGAGCCAAAGCTGATTACGGCGGCATCCTTCCTGCACAGCAGAAACTAGCCTGGGTTAGAGCGACGGCCATGAACAAACAGATCCTGCTCACCCTCCCCTCCTCCCAATTCCCCCTTTTGAGTCCGCCTTCCTCCTCCCCGGCCTCCGTCTGGTGCTCGTCCTTCTTCCCCTCCACGATTCTCCAACGACCACCGTCTCATCAACAAGTGACACCGACAACTCACCATGTTCAACCGAATGCTTCACAATCGCTATCTTTACATATGTGCTCCCACATCCACCGCTACGATTAGTCTTGCACGGGACTTAATATGCGCATCTCAAGGAACTCACAACTAAACCTCAGACACGTCGTCTCATACTCAACATGCGACGAAGGCAGACTACGAGTTACCATCACCACCGAGACACGACCAGAGGACCATACTTATGCTCCGCGAAACAAATGGAGGTCATGCAGGTCATGCTAGCTCCGCATCGACGTAGCACTGATCAACCAGTACATCCAAGACATTATCCAAAGACCCGACGCAGACCCTACCAACCCCAGAGGGACCACGACGCTCACAAAAGGCATCCCCATGGGTGTACACGATCTTGGGAGGCGAATGGTCAGAGGACCTTCCAAGGGCGGCAGCGGTACTGAACGAGGTTGCGCATGAAGAACCAGCACGAAACCCTCCAGACAGCACGAGCAGCTCCCTACTCTCAAGCACAACCAGCTCCATACTCTGAAGCACAATCGACAGCCACACTAGCCCACTGACACCAGCTGTCCAAGGAGAACACCACACCGACAAACCATTTCCACCAGCAGCAGAGGACTTCTTACCACATGCCAGGAGACAGTACAGCGCAAACCATAGAGCCACCCAGCACCCCAGAGCGCCCTACAGCATACCCTTCACAACAAAAACTGCCACCACCAAGGCTCCAAACACCTCTCCTCTGCCTATAGACAGGCACTTCGACGGCCAAACACGGATGGCTAGCGGACGTGTTACCGGCCCCACGTATACGAAAGACGTAAGCAACTATCACGGCATGAATTCCACCTAAAGGACCATTATCCACGGAAGACGGCCAGCCGAGATCGACCCCAATACCAACAGACGACCACCCACTACACAACGAAAATTACTACGACGAGCCAACAGCGACATGAAATCTCAACACAGTGTATGAGAGCACCAGCAGCAATACACACAGTGCTTAGTAGACGTGCAGAAGCACAATGAAGAAGAACGCCTAGAAATACGACACAAAACACCACCAACCGACAAACCAACATTCCCGTCCTTACATTGGATCACTGGCAACACGAACAATACTTAACCACTACATCCACATCTGGCACTGTGAGCCTCATGCCCTGCATGGGAGCCCTGCAGGACACACGTGCGGGAGAAGCACAAGTATGCCAATTGCCACAAGACGTACACTTACTGAGCCTGCCGTCACCTCACTCACCCCTGTCTGCTTGCTCACTCCAGTCGGGCGGGGAGGCTCTGAGGTCCTCGGTATGCGATTGGGATGGGAACGGCACTGCGATGGCAATACAGCTGGCATCCTCCCCTCACGGGTCTCTGCGCATGAACTCTCCCCATGCCCTGGGGACCCCACTTTACCTTGCGCCGTTGCACGCTACACAGAACCAACAACTTGCTTTCTCTGCGCTTGCTTTGCACCTTTGCGCGCCACGCACAGCTAACCGCTTACTTCTCAGCTGGGAGTGGCATGGGAGGTAGATGGTAAAGGGGAAAGAGATCGACAATGCGCCGAGACAATTTGACACCACTCTGGTTTCGAAGCTCCGCTACGGCTGGCACTATCGTACCCTACTTTGGTCATCCCTTCTTTGGGGCGCGGATGGTAATACTGGCATTGGCAAGCATGCAGGCAAGGGCCATCCATACTACACAGCTGCCACCAAGAAACATACAGCAAAATGGGTCCGGGCATATCGCCCGTTACTCTGCGCCATCCCCAATGCTCTTGCCAGTTACCCCACCTTCCTTGACATCAACTGTCAACACGTTCGCAATCCTTCGGATTACCTCCGAGCGTACGATCTCATCTCAATGTCGGCTTTGTTTAACACGGGGCCTTCTGGCCTGGCTTACGTACATGTTCAGAGGACGGGTGGTGGTACTGTGGAGGAGGAGTAGGACGAACGTTGTACTCTATTCCAATGAAGGCCAGCCTATTCAGGCCATCCTTGACCCGCAGTACCTGTCTATACAGCTGCTCGATCGACTGCACTGCTTCCCATGCCCTACTCGGCCTCTTCAGAGGCCACCGATGTTCTTTCTACGCGTCGAGCATACTACGTTATCTTCCATTCCCTTT